GAGTCTAAGTTGAAAAAAGACAGAGAAAAAAAAAGTTGGAAAGAACTTTGAAAAAGAAACTGGTAAAAATGTTAAGATATTATTTTATATATAATTAGCACTTTTTGTAATTGCAAATATTTTTGCTTTTATTGTAAAACTATGCCATTTATTTTGATTTTTGTATGTTATTCATATGATTTATTATAATTCCTTATGTATTTTATTAATATGTTTTGTTTACTTATTATTATTTTTTTTTTGGATAAGAATTATCTTATTTTCTGATCAAAACAGTACACAAAGATGGAACAGCTAATCAAGTGGTATATCGTTCATTAGCAAAATTAAAACGAGCTATGCCAAAAAAAAGTTCACTTTAAGTTAAAGTTTTATCTGCTCTTGTGCAAAGTTTATCACCAAAAAAAAAAAAAAACATTTTTTTTAATTCTAGAAGAAAGCTATCTTTTAAAATTGGAAGGCCATCAATGATACAGGTAAACAAAGAAAAAGTAGTTCATTTTTTAGAACAACCAGATATAAGCTATTTTTCCCCAGGCAGGAAAGATACTGTTTACTGTGGAAAATCTAATGGTGTTAAAGTCTATCGTTCAAAGCATTACATGCTTTATACATACAGAAAACTTGTTTACTTATTTAATAAAGAGAATGACATTAAAATTACTTATCAGTTACGAGAAGTTATCAATGCTGAAAATAACCTGATTATGCTAAGTAAAACACCAGAGGAGAATTGTTGATGTGATACTTGTGAAAATGGTCAACTTTTGCTGCAGGCAATAAAAAAATATTTTATCAAAGAAAAAAAAATGAAATTATTGAAAGTCTGCCAGCTGAACCACTGGAACTTGAAGAACTTGGTGTATGTTCTGTCAAGTCACTTATATGCATAAAAGGCAATTGTTTAAAATGTCCTGGACAAACTGATTTGTGTCAAGAATTAGAAAAAATTGATGTTTTTCCATGTTACCGTTGGATAACCTCAAAAAAGTTTGCAAAGTTCAAGAAAAAGCTACTGATGAAGAAGCTGCAATGCTTTTATTAGAAATGGTTGATGGCAGCAAAATGAGAATGCATAAGTATAATATTTACCGTCAGTTTTCAAAGTTAAAATGGCTGAAGGCAAATCTCAAAGAAGATGAAGTAATAATCAGTGTCGATTTTTCCAAGATCTACAAAAATAAACAACTCCATGAGATCCAGAGTGCTTATTTTGGGCATGAACAATTTACCATATTTACAGCATATATCACAGTTCAGAATGGTAAACTTGATAAAAATTTTAATTTGGTTAAGTTTCCAGTAGCAATCATATGAAATGAAACGAAACATGATCGCAATGTTGCATTTACAAACAACAACCGGCTTATAAGCATCATCAAGGGTATAGCTCCATCAGTTTCCACTTTCCATTTCTGGAGTGACGGATGTGCTGGTCAGTTCCGATCTCAATTTGTCTTTCGGTCCTTCTCTTACTACCCTGAAAATATTACATTGACTTAGAGTTATGGTGAGGCACATCACTTTAAAGGACCCCATGATGGAATTGGTGGAACTATTAAAAAACAAGTTTTCAGGGAAGTTTTTTCATCTAAAGTTGTAATTGAAAATGCTAAACAGTTTTTTGAAGTAGCTGATCGGCTATGTGACATTACAGTAATCTACTTAGACACAAAAGATATTGAGTCACCAAATTTAAATGAGTATAAATTCCATTTATACTCAAGGAACTTTAAAGGTTCACAATGTTAGAAGATTAAATCAAAATTCAGTTAACTTATATTTAAACAGCACCTTTAAAAAATCATCAGATGTTTTTAAATCGTTGGCATGGGAAAAAAATAATAGAGAAGCTGAAGGAGAAATTTAAAATTATTGACAATGATGAAAAAATCTATGAAGTCTATGAAAATTTTGTTTTTGTTTGCTTAAAAAAGAGTTATATGAGAGCCTCATTAAAGTGTACTTTTTTTCCTTCCGTGACATGTCCTTCCATGACATTAAATGACTTTAATTGATTTGGAATAAAAAAAAATAATTAATATTTGTCAAGAACACTTTTGTAAGTTTAACTTAAAGGTCTTATACCTTTTTAAAGGAACTTTTTTTTTTCTGTATCTCTATTAATTTTGATAGAATCTAAACCCAAAATAGAAAGTTAATTTTACGGCTTTTCTATCGTTTTTTCTGTGACAAGTTTTGAAGGCCTGTTGCAGTAACTTTAGAACTCTAGAAATAATGTTTTAATCCCAATTACTATTGCTTTATTGGTAGTTTCTAAAATATCATCAAAACCCTCTATGCCAGGGTTGGCAAAAACCCGGGTTTTTGAGCAAAAACCGAACCCAACTGGGTTTTTGGGTGGATTTTTGGGTAGGTTTTTGCTTAAGTTGCATACAAATCTTTAGTAACAAAGTTTGATAAATTTATAGTTATTTAAAAGCTATTTTTCATTTTTTTAATTTTATTTTTAAGTTATATTTTCTTATACAAAAGCTTAATTTATAATCAGATTGCATTTTTTTTCTAATATAAATAAATTGTTAAATTGAGTTATCTTTTTAGTCAAATTTAAAATAGAATTGAATTATACGTCTTTATTTGAAATTAACATGTCAAAAAAAAAGTTAGAGAGAAGAAATTAGGCTAGCGGGTAGAATGAAGTGACCATATTAAGTGATCAACCAAGTACAGTAATATGTAATTATTGCAAAGAGAGCATAATCAAAAAAGTAGTGAGAGTTAAGATCCATTTTGATAAATTCAGAAGTAAGAAAAAAGGAAACGCTAAGAATTCTGCAGAAGTATTTAGCAATACATCAGTTTTAGAGTCAAGACCATCTACATCTGCAGCATCAAACAAGTCTAACCAGTCAGAAAATAATGATCAAGATTACTTAAGCTTTATAAGTAAATCTTCGTTAACTGTTCATTTAACTGCAATGATGATGTAATAGCAAACATCAATTTCTAAATTTGTTACTTCAACAACAAGTAATCAGAGGAATGAACTGGATTTGCAGGTTAAAATGTTTCTTTTTTTCAACAAATATACCATTCAACATAGTAGAAAAACTTGACTTGACTACCTATAGAACAGAATACAGATACCTTCAGAACTCTTATTAAAGATAAACAAAGAAATAATCAATATAATGAAATGTGATCTTGATAATGATTGTGCTGTTATCCTTATTCAAGATGATTGGAGTACATTTAGTAATGATTTTATAATTGCTCATAGTATCCAAGACGATACAAAGATGATATTTTAAAGAGGTTTAAGAAAACAATTGTTCCATATCATTTTCTGGCTAATTTAACAGATCCAAAATGTAAAGGTAACCATAAAATTATAGAAAAATTAAAAACTTGCATCTGATCAAATTAAAATAAATACTGATACAAAATTTTCTTTTAAAGTTTACTACTCTTATAACTGTACCTATTTATTTAAAAAGAGCCTTGGATCGAAGTCAAGAAGAAGAAGCTGAGGAATGGTTAAATGATTTAGGAATCAGGATATTTAGGAAAACTAGGAATCTTTTAGGAAAAGGAAAGCAAAAATGCTTGTACGAATTTACAAACAAAAAGGTCAAGATGAACAATTGCTATGTTGTGTTAACTTTGTTTTAAACCTTTAAGTTTGAATATTTCTACTCCAAATAAAATAAAGTCTCGTTTATGATTCACTAAACTTCTTGTTTTTATAACAATTTTTAAGCAGCATCAAATCTTGAGTGTGAATGGAAATTAATTTATAAATAAAAATATTATAAATACAAAAACCCATTAAATTGGGTTTTTGGGTGGATTTTTGGGTTTGGGTTTTTGGGTGCCAACCCTGCTCTATGCACTTTTATTTAATGTTATTTTAATTTAGTGTCTCAATTTCCTTTCGTGACAAAAACATTACTTTTCAACCTTAAAACATATTTAAAAAGCAAGAATGTCTTATGAAGAACCTGTCCACATATGGAACAGTATTATATAAAAGTATTAATAAGAGATTTAAATAGATAGAGAATGGAGTTGAAAGTAAAAAAAAAAATAGTGAGCACAATTAAGACGCAAGTTTAACAGAGGTTTTCTTTGGAATAGATTCAACATGAGAGGCCAATAGTGAAAGATAATCCAAAATGACGTAAAGTAGATGAGTCAGTAGTGAGAATTAATGACACTTTTAGAGTTTTTTCTAAAAGTGTTTCTAAAGTTTTTTCTTAAAGTTTTTTCTAACAGTTCTGAGTCAAAACTCTCTTGAGAATTTTGACATAGAGTATGAGATTTATAAAATTTAATGTCGGACAATTTTTGCATCGATTTCTTAAAATGATAAAAAGACGCTTGTTCTCAGGAGAGTTGTGACAAAAAAAAAAAATGATAACAATTAGAAATTGCAGCTGCACAAAGAAAAGTAACCAAAGATCTCACACATGTGTATTTGTATAACATTAATGTATTTATCTATGTATAAAAGCAAGCATACATGAAATCCAAAGGTTTATTTTATTGTGACACATTTCAAGAAATTACTTCAAACTTTGTACTTTTTACACAGTTTGGAGTGATTTTTTTTGTGTCACAATAAAATGTGTCACAATGAGCATACTCAATTTTAATATTTTGATCCGATTGCAAAAATCAAAGAAAACAGAGTTATGAGAAAATGTGTAATCCTAAAGAGTGTAGAGACATAAACATAAAATGAACCTAGTGTTAAGTAGATAAAAACTCTTTAATTTTTTGCATTGCAGCGCGTTTTAATTAAATTTATTTTGTTTGAAGGAAAACTACGCATGCTCACGTGATTTTTTCCTTCCCTATCCCGTTATAATTTTTCGGCAAACTATCTACCTTGAGATATAAGAAGTTTAAACCAAAAGGTCTAAAATTTAAATAGAATTTTAAACAAAACATAAAGAAAAAAATGCATATATTTATAGATACTGCATGTGTTTACCAAAAATAAATTAAAAAAATACAATCTTAAATATAACAAAATAACTTTTGCCTTATAAATAACAGTAACATTTAAAAAATAAATAAAAAAAACTGCCAAAGTTTAATAAAAAACTCTTAAGATTTCACAAGAAGAAAAAGAAGATTCTCCATCATCAAATAAGAAGATTCTCCATCATCAAATAAGAAGATTCTCCATCATCAAATAAGAAGATTCTCCACCATCAAATCTAATTTTTTAAACTAACATATCTTTTTTTCATATATATAAAACTTCACACACAGTTGATATTTCAGTCTAACTTATTTTATCGTTCAATTCTTTAATGACAACTTTATATCATTCCATATGCGTGGACATTAGTTTCATAGTCCAATCCATTTCATTAAGTTGCTTAAACCTACAAAAAATAAAGCATCAAAATGGGTTGCTCATTTTATTGACAAAATAGAAGCATAATAAAATAAATTCAAAATAGATACTATTATGAAAAGATGATGACTATATAGTATTATATTATAGACTATATGGTATTATATTATTATAGGTAAAGGGTCGTCCATAAAGTACGTACGCTTTTTTTTTCGTCCACCCCCCTCCCCCCGCATTTTGTAATACGCTTTTTTGAGTACCCTGCACTTCCCTAAAAGTACCTACGCTTTTAATCCATTTACCTAACATTTTATGCTTTTATTTTTAATTTAGTGTCTCCTTTCTTTTATAATTGACCCACTGCCCTCCCATCTCATATACGCCATTTGCAGACCCCCTCATCCCATCCGAGCGTACGTACTTTATGGACGATCCCTAAGATCTATTTTAAAAGCAAAATACCTGAGAGAAGATTTAGAAATAAGATATTTTGTACATAAATATTTACTGACTGGTAGTTAATGAAACCTAACTTAAAGTTTTTATAACTCTTTTCTAGTTATTTTTCTAAACTGATAGATAAATATTGATGAAATTAACTAAACTGAATTGTTCACCACAAAAATAATAGCTTTTTAATATTTAAAGTTGCATTTTGTAAATTTCATAAAGTGTAGCCAGAAAATTTTTATTCTTCATAATTACGTTTTTTTAGCAGCACCACTGGAATTAGGGTTTTTTCGAATTCACATACAATAACAACTGCACAATCAGAAACTTTTAAAATTTTGTTATTTTTTAAATAACTAAAACTATTTCAGTACAAGTAAAAATTAACCGTGGTTTATACATTATTTACATTGTATATTATGATATATTTTGTAATTTAAATTACAACATAGAAAAATTAAGTCTTACCTGTAAAAATATCATAACTTTTTTCTGAAAATTTAACAAGATTTTCTAAAAACTTTTTAGATTGTTTTGCTCTCTCGTAAAAATCTTTGATCTTGCAATCAATGACAATATTGCATTCTGAAAATCTGTCTAACAACTTATCAACACAAGCTTCATCTTTTTTTTTTATTTTGATTCTGATTTTATCTCTGCAAGTTTCCAAGCTGTATTTCTTGAAAAGTATTGATCCAGTCATTGAGGAAACATACTTAATTGAGGCTAACAACTTATCGTTAAAGCATGTGCCTAAAGTATATGAAAATAATTTTAAAGCATGTACCTATCCATAGCTTTTTTTCTAAATACTAATGTTAATAAATTATAATATACGAAACACATTATAATAAGTTGTATGTTTTAAAGCATGAAACTATGTATTCTTCAAAACCCCACCCGTCCTCCGTAGAATCGCCTCTGTGTATCCATATCTTGTATCAAAATATAAAATGTCTACAAACAAAAATAAATTAAAAAAAAACAAAACAGAAAATACACGAGCATTAAAATTTCGTGAGAATATTTTTCAAACTGGTTTTTAGCCTTACCCTGTAATAAAATAGGCTCAATCCACGATCCCACCTACTTATATGCATTATTTAAGTTCAATATATAATTAGACTAAACATTTTTCAACCCTTTTCATACAATATCAGTAAGCAATGAAATGGAGCATTAGCATAATTTATTTATTTATTTTTTTTGCTCTTTTACCTGAATTTTATTTTTGATTGATAAATAATTGTAAATATCTATTTGATAAATAATTTGCTAAATATTTAATAAATAATTGTAAATATCTATTTTGATTGATAAATAATTGTAAATATCTATTAAATTTGAGATACATAGTATCTCAAATATAAAATATTGAGATACTACGTATTTCAATATTTCACTTTGCAAATTTCTTTGTTTAAATATTGTAATTACTCCTTATTGAATATATGATATTTTATGATAACTTATTTTATTAAATTTAAAAAAGATGTACTGATGTATTTAAAAAAAAAAAGATAATACACTGGAAAATCAATTTGGTGTCTCCCTTTTAAAATAAGATATTCTAAAATATAAAATTTGAAGTTAAATAATTCATTTTAAGTGTAAAACATGCAAAAAATGTATATTATTTTGCAATTTTGTTTTATTCTAAAAAAGCGAGTGGCAGTGGCAGAATAAATTTTAGCAAAAAAATCACTTGTATCACTAAAACTAAATGAAAGTTGGTACATTAGGTTTGTAACTAAATGAAACATCGTTGGTACATTAGGTTTGTAACTATTATAAGATAATTTCCATTTATTTCTTTAGATTGTTCTAAGAAAACATTTTTTTTCATTTGTTTTATATTGGAAAAATCTGTTGTGCTACTATGGTTACTTCACATCACTATTTTCTTTTGGTACTTCGTGTTGTGTAGTTTTGTTTAACAAATTAGATTTAATGATTAGAAAAGATCTTTAAAGAATTAGTTAATGTAGATATTATGTTTATTTGAACATGATCAATAACACCACTTATGGTGTTATTGATCGTGTTTAAAAAAGATTCTATATGCATTACTTTTATTTATTTTTAGTAAGACTTCAATAAAGAATTTTTCGAAATTAATAAAAAAGATGACAAATAATATTTTATTAACTTCTATATATTTAATAATTTCAACCAGTAAATAAATTAAAAATCACTTAATTTCTTATAACTAATAAATAAACTTTTACGAGTCATTGTAAGTGTTATTGGATTTAAGTCTGGACTTTGAGATGACCATTCCATATTGATGTTATTTGTGTTAAAGTATAACTGTTTTCTTATCGATATGTTTCAGATTGTTATCCTGCTGGAGTATGAAATTGTTCCCCATTCTCAATTTTGAAAAAAATAAATGCAAGTTGGCTTTGAGAATTTCACAATAAAAATTTGCTGCAGGTTATAAGCTTCCCCTTTTTTTTGCCATACTTTCTGGACTCCATCCGATGAGATGAGGTTGTATTTTGACTCATCTGACCACAAATTATTTTTCCATTATGATATCAGCATTTTTTTTATACTTCCGATCAATGTTTAAAAGTTAAAAAAAGTTTACCTTTTAAACTTTTAAAAAAATTCTACCTCAATATCCTTGTTCTCTGTTACAATTTCTGATTGTTTAAGGAGTCACTGTGATGTTGTAATCTTAAACTTTTAAAGCTAATTTAGGTGCCAAAATAAATCTATTTTTCTTCACATTAATGATGATATTTCGATCAATTGCACTGGTGGTCTTATGTTTTTGTCCGCTACCAGCCACATAAGCGAAGGTTCCAATCTGATTATGCTTCTTAACAATTAACATTGACACAAATAACATCAATATTTTGGAATAGTCATCTCAAAGTCCTGACTTAAATCCAATAGAAAATTTGGGTATATTTTGGACAGAAAAATTGGCAATTAAGCATTTAGATGCAAAGACGATTTGAAAGAAGCTATAACAAGCACATGGGACAATATAACAACAAAAGAGACCCAAATTTTGGTCAACTCTTTCTAGCTGAAGCCATCAAGGCCAAAGGAGGCCCCACTCAATACTAATTTCTATGGAACTTGATCAATTCAACATTTTTTCTGAACTGTACGATTTTTCTTTTGCAGTCAATTTTCTGCACCATTAGATCAATTGTGTAAAATTCAAGAGGTTGAAAAAGCAATTAATTTAACAATACACAAATAAGTTCTTAAAAAAATACTTGATAAGATATCTTAAAAAAAAAATTGTTTTAATGGAAAACTCATATTTATTTTGATGCAACCTTTAAAATTATGATTTTTTTTAAGTGCACAATTATTTCTTTTTTTGCATACTATATATATATATATATATATATATATATATATATATATATATATATACTACAATTTTAATTACCTCGTCTCTTAAGCTGTTTTTGATTGTCATCGAAATGTCAAAGCAATTAATTTATGCGGAAGTACATTAAATTTAATTGTTTTTTAAAAATTTTTTAAAAAACCGCAATTATAACGACTAGAAAGTTTTTTTTAATTAGTGGTGTTTTTGTTATTGATTTAATAAAAAACATTTTTAAAACATGCGAAAATATTGCTACATCGACTATCTTATAGCCTGACTCGCAACAGAGTGCTGCTACATCGACTGACAAATAGCCTGACTCGCAACGGAGTGCTGCTACATCGACTGACAAATAGCCTGACTCGCAACGGAGTGCTGCTACATCGACTGACAAATAGCCTGACTCGCAAGGGAGTGCTGCTACAACGACTGACAAATAGCCTGACTCGCAAGAGAGTGCTGCTACATCGACTGAGGGTTTGGTTTGGCCAGGCAGTCTATCAATTAAAAAAAAAAATTTAACTTTTAAAACTTTTTCTGGTCTGGTTTATTAACGCGCTCTTCAAAACTACAGTTTATGGGAAACTTTTTTTGATGCCATGTAAGAGACATGCAAGAGTATATATATATATATATATATATATATATATATATATATATATATATATATATATATATATATATATATATATATATATATATATATATATATATATATATATATATATATATATATATATATATATATATATATATATATATATATATATATATATATATATATATATATATATATATATATATATATATATATATATATATATATATATATATATATATATATATATATATATATATATATATATATATATCTATATATCTATATATCTATATATCTATATATCTATATATCTATATATATATATACATATATACATATATACATATATACATATATATATATATATATATATATATATATATATATATATATATATATATATATATATATATATATATATATATATATATATATATATACATATATATATATATATATATATATATATATATATATATATATATATATATATATATATATATATATATCTTATACTGCTGAGTTAGGTGAGCATGATGATGTCATATTCACCTAATGTCAAACAGCCTGCTGCCGGGGGCTTCAGTACATACATCAACTGACAAATAGCCTGACTCGCCGTGGAGAGCTGCTACATCGACTGAGGGTTTGGTATGGGTCAGCAACCTTTTCATTCATTATTCTTCATTTTCCCTCATCGTTTTCTAAAAACGCTCACTTAAATTAGGCTAGCAAAAAAAGTGAGCAATTGCACATATAAATATGCTACATACACAAAAATTTAACCAAAAAAGAAGAAAGGACAAGACAGAAAAAATTAAAAAAAAAAAAAGACCTTAGCAAATGTGTCTTGTGAGTTTTTTGTCATTTCTTACTACACCAGATTTTATAGAAATGCGATAACATCACAATAACACACCAGCACCGATGAAAGCCCTGAGAAACGTTTACTGTAACCTCTCAAATAGTAATTTCTGAAACTACAACAAAAAGAAGAAGGAAGACGTTCATCACATTTAAGGCAAAAAGGATTATATTACAAGGCCTTTAAAAGAAGCTAGTTTTCTTTTAAAGGCCTTTTCTTTTAAACAAAAACTAGACAGAGAATTACTACTTTTTGCTTGCGGTTATTACGCCTACAAAATGGTTTTAAAATGTGTATTTGAAACAAAAATCCACCAAGTCACAAGAAGCCCTGATATCCCAATGTTCAAAAAGTTTAGAGACAACTGGAAAACTATTAATCTGGCTGCGAAGGAAACATACACCAATATCGTCAAACAACATTTTAATCATACAACATTTGAAGAAGTGTTGACATTTTATAATCAAGAACTGCAAAAAACTATTCTATGTGATGATTAGCAGGAACTAATTATTAATTTCTTAGAAGTTGATTATTAAAAAAAATAAAATTAAAATCAGACTTTTTTTATGATAACTTAAATTCATTATCTTTGTTTTTAACAACATTGACTGCGTTTTTAACCATTAATTGATGTTAAAGCTTTTGAATATCAAATGATGGTAAAAAAGAATTTATTTAAATATGTATATATCTTAAAATAAAACATATATAAAAACAAAAAAAAATTAAAAAAATTAAATACCATTAAACATCGCTTCAATATCAGATTTCGAGAGTTCTAACTTCGGAAATGAAGACACATTAAATAAACAACGACAAAGATCTAATAATATAAATTAAAAACATTTTTCAGCACAATTTAAAAAAATAGCAAAAACAAATAAAATTAATATTAGAAGACTCCTTACCATCACAAGCTCCAGTTGAAACCGTTGTATTTAAATCAACTTTTGTCGAAATATGGCTTTCGAATGTAGAAACTTGAGAAGAAAATGTAAAATTATTCTCTAATGAAGAGAATGTTGATGTTTCAAAAGGTACAGTTTTAGTACCAGTAAATAAACGTGTTGCTTTATTTAAACAGAATTCAGAAATAGACTTCATAAAACGATTTTCAAGTAACATATTAAAGCTATAGCCTTTTACAATAAGGTAAGTGTCATTTGTTAAAGCAAGTAAAACATCACTTTCTACTTTTTTTCCAACAGCAACAACAATTATTTTTATTCCATAATCTCGAGCAGATTTTGCTGCATTAGCCAAGTCCTGTGAACCATTCATAGGGTTTACAGAATTTCCTATGTTTGCTGCTCCATCTGTAAAAACTACCATTAACTTCAATGCATCTGCCTGAACTCCGCACCCTCTTTTTTGTAATATGTTTTTGCCTTTATCAACTCCATCTTCAATATTAGTAAATTGTCCACTCTGTGTGAGATTCTTTAAAGCTCTGTTAAATAATTTTTCATCTTGATATTCATCACAGTAAATTGCCTCAGTGGCTTTGCTTGAGAACAAAACAACTGAGACTTTATTTCCATTTTCAGATATGCCAAGATTTTTCACTAAATTTCCAACAAACAGCTTTTCATCATTAAAAGTGGTTAGATTGATTGAATCAGAAGCATCTAAAACGAACGCTACTTCGTATCTGCAGTTTTTAGAGAACGGAATACTGGATGAACTTACATAAGACTCGGTAGAGAGTCTTAAGACTTCTGTTGTTTCTACACTACTGGTATTTGTTGCTTCCTCTGTTGTATTAAATTGTTCAGTGGTACGAGTTGAAGGTTCTGAACCAGTAAACATTATTGTTGTAGAAATATTTTCTAATTCAGTTGAAGTCGCAGGCTTTTTAGGTGTTGTTTTAGTAGATGTAGCTGATTCTTTTGTTAGTTGTTTTAAAGTAGAACCAGTGACATGTTTAGGAGTTGATTTAAACGATGATGCACTGCTGGTATTTGCTATTTCTTCTGTTGTAACTAATTGTTCTGTGCTATGAGTTAAAGATTCTGAACCTGTAAATATTAGGGTTGAAGAAATATTTTCTGATTCAGTTGAAGTTGCAAGCATCTTAGTTTGTGGTATGGACCAGGTTGCTGACTGTTTTGTAGATTTTTCTGATAAGAAACTAGTGACAGTTGCAGGACTTGATTCAGATGATGGTGTGTTGCTAATATTTGCTGCTTCTTCTTCTGTTGTAATTGACTGTTCAGTGGTACGAGTTGAAGGTTCTGAACCAGTAAACATTACAACCTGTAAATATTAGGGTTGAAGAAATATTTTCTGATTCAGTTGAAGTTGCAGGCATCTTAGTTTTTGACTCAGACCAGGTTGCTGTCACTTTTGTAGATGTTTTTGAGGAAAAACTAGAGACAGTTACGGGACTAGATTCAGATGATGGTGCGCTGCTAGTATTTGCTGCTTCTTCTTCTGTTGTAACTGACTGTTCAGAGGTACGAGTTGAAGGTTTTGAACCAGTAAAATTTAGTGTTGTAGAAAGATTTTCTAATTCAGTTGATGTTGTAACGATTTCAGTTGTTGCTGTTAGTAACTGAGAATTTTTTGTTATCTGTGTAGTCTGTATTTCTTTAGTAGATTGTTTTGAAAAAGTATTAGGTAATTGACTTGACACAGTTAATTCTTCAACATTATTTTTCGTAGGAATAAGTTTTGGTTTAGTTGTTAAAGGTTCCGCTCTGGTTAATGGCTTGGGCGTCACCTTAGTTATAGGATGGTTGTTACAAAGAGACGATACAATATTTTGCCATATATGTTTTTTTTCTAATAGACTAAAGTTATAAGCTTTTACTATGAGGTTAGAGTCATTTGTTAAAGCAAGTAAAACATCACTTTCTACTTTTTTTCCAACAGCAACAGCAATTATTTTTATTCCAGAATATCGAGCAGATTTTGCTGCATTAGCCAAGTCCTGTGAACCATTCATAGGGTTTACAGAATTTCCTATGTTTGCTGCTCCATCTGTAAAAACTACCATTAACTTCAATGCATCTGCCTGAACTCCGCACCCTCTTTTTTGTAATATGTTTTTGCCTTTATCAACTCCATCTTCAATATTAGTAAATTGTCCATTCTGTGTGAGATTCTTTAAAGCTCTGTTAAATAATTTTTCATCTTGATATTCATCACAGTAAATTGCCTCAGTGGCTTTGCTTGAGAACAAAACAACTGAGACTTTATTTCCATTTTCAGATATGCCAAGATTTTTCACTAAATTTCCAACAAACAGCTTTTCATCATTAAAAGTGGTTGGATTGATTGATTCAGAAGCATCTAAAACGAACGCTACTTCGTATCTGCAGTTTTTAGAGAACGGAATACTGGATGAACTTAAATAAGACTCGGTAGAGAGTCTTAAGACTTCTGTTGTTTCTACACTACTGGTATTTGTTGTTTCCTCTGTTGTATTAAATTGTTCAGTGGTACGAGTTGAAGGTTCCGAACCAGTAAATATTAGTGTTGAAGAAATATTATCTGAATAAGTCAAAGTTGCAGGCTTTCTGGGTGTTGTTTTAGTTGATGTAGCTGATTCTTTTGTTAGTTGTTTTGGAGTAGAACCAGTGACATGTTTAGGAGTTGATTCAAACGATGGTGCACTGCTGGTATTTGCTATTTCTTCTGTTGTAACTAATTGTTCTGTGCTATGAGTTAAAGATTCTGAACGTGTAAATATTAGGGTTGAAGAAATATTTTCTGATTCAGTTGAAGTTGCAGGCATCTTAGTTTTTGGCTCAGACCAGGTTGCTGACTCTTTTGTAGATGTTTTTGAGAAAAAACTAGTGACAGTTACAGGACTTGATTCAGATGATGGTGTGCTGCTAATATTTGCTGCTTCTTCCTCTGTTGTAATTGACTGTTCAGTGGTACGAGTTGAAGGTTCTGAACCAGTAAACATTAGTGTTGTAGAAACATTTTCTAACTCAGTTGAAGTTGCAGGCTTTTTAGGTGTTGTTTTAGTAGATGTAGCTGATTCTTTTGTTAGTTGTTTTGAAGTAGAACCAGTGACATGTTTAGGAGTTGATTCAAACGATGGTGCACTGCTGGTATTTGCTATTTCTTCTGTTGTAACTAATTCTTCTGTGCTATGAGTTAAAGATTCTGAACCTGTAAATATTAGGGTTGAAGAAATATTTTCTGATTCAGTTGAAGTTGCAGGCATCTTAGTTTTTGACTCAGACCAGGTTGCTGTCACTTTTGTAGATGTTTTTGAGGAAAAACTAGAGACAGTTACGGGACTAGATTCAGATGATGGTGCGCTGCTAGTATTTGCTGCTTCTTCTTCTGTTGTAACTGACTGTTCAGAGGTACGAGTTGAAGGTTCTGAACCAGTAAAATTTAGTGTTGTAGAAAGATTTTCTAATTCAGTTGATGTTGTAACCATTTCAGTTGTTGCTGTTAGTAACTGAGAATTTTTTGTTATCTGTGTAGTCTGTATTTCTTTAGTAGATTGTTTTGAAAAAGTATTAGGTAATTGACTTGACACAGTTAATTCTTCAACATTGTTTTTCGTAGGAATAAGTTTTGGTTTAGTTGTTAAAGGTTCCGCTCTGGTTAATGGCTTGGGCGTCACCTCAGTTATAGGATGGTTGTTACAAAGAGACGATACAATATTTTGCCATATATGTTTTTTTTCTAATAGACTAAAGTTATAAGCTTTTACTATGAGGTTAGAGTCATTTGTTAAAGCAAGTAAAACATCACTTTCTACTTTTTTTCCAACAGCAACAGCAATTATTTTTATTCCAGAATATCGAGCAGATTTTGCTGCATTAGCCAAGTCCTGTGAACCATTCATAGGGTTTACAGAATTTCCTATGTTTGCTGCTCCATCTGTAAAAACTACCATTAACTTCAATGCATCTGCCTGAACTCCGCACCCTCTTTTTTGTAATATGTTTTTGCCTTTATCAACTCCATCTTCAATATTAGTATATTGTCCACTCTGTGTGAGATTCTTTAAAGCTCTGTTAAATAATTTTTCATCTTGATATTCATCACAGTAAATTGCCTCAGTGGCTTTGCTTGAGAACAAAACAACTGAAACTTTATTTCCATTTTCAGATATGCCAAGATTTTTCACTAAATTTCCAACAAACAGCTTTTCATCATTAAAAGTGGTTGGATTGATTGAATCAGAAGCATCTAAAACAAAGGCTACTTCGTATCTGCAGTTTTTAGAGAACGGAATACTGGATGAACTTACATAAGACTCTGTAGAGAGTCTTAAGACTTCTGTTGGTTCTACACTACTGGTATTTGTTGCTTCCTCTGTTGTATTAAATTGTTCAGTAGTACGAGTTGAAGGTTCTGAACCAGTAAACATTAATGTTGTAGAAACATTTTCTAATTCAGTTGAAGTCGCAGGCTTTTTAGGTGCTGTTTTAGTAGATGTAGCTGATTCTTTTGTTAGATGTTTTGGAGTAGAACCAGTGACATGTTTAGGAGTTGATTCAAACGATGGTGCACTGCTGGTATTTGCTATTTCTTCTGTTGTAACTAATTGTTCTGTGCTATGAGTTAAAGATTCTGAACCTGTAAATATTAGGGTTGAAGAAATATTTTCTGATTCAGTTGAAGTTGCAAGCATCTTAGTTTGTGGTATGGACCAGGTTGCTGACTGTTTTGTAGATTTTTCTGATAAGAAACTAGTGACAGTTGCAGAACTTGAATCAGATGATGGTTTGCTGCTAATATTTGCTGCTTCTTCTTCTGTTGTAACTGACTGTTCAGAGGTACGAGTTGAAGGTTCTGAACCAGTAAAAATTAGTGTTGTAGAAAGATTTTCTAATTCAGTTAAAGTCGCAGGCTTTTTAGGTGTTGTTTTAGTTGATGTAGCTGATTCTTTTGTTAGTTTTTTTGAAGTAGAACCAGTGACATGTTTAGGAGTTGATTTAAATGATGGTGCACTGCTGGTATTTGCTATTTCTTCTGTTGTAACTAATTGTTCTGTGCTATGAGTTAAAGATTCTGAACCTGTAAATATTAGGGTTGAAGAAATATTTTCTGATTCAGTTGAAGTTGCAAGCATCTTAGTTTGTGGTATGGACCAGGTTGCTGACTGTTTTGTAGATTTTTCTGATAAGAAACTAGTGACAGTTGCAGGACTTGATTCAGATGATGGTGTGCTGCTAATATTTGCTGCTTCTTCTTCTGTTGTAATTGACTGTTCAGAGGTACGAGTTGAAGGTTCTGAACCAGTAAACATTAGTGTTGTAGAAACATTTTCTAATTCAGTTGAAGTCGCAGGCTTTTTAGGTGTTGTTTTAGTAGATGTAGCTGATTCTTTTGTTAGTTGTTTTGAAGTAGAACCAGTGACATGTTTAGGAATTGATTCAAACGATGGTGCACTCCTGGTATTTGATATTTCTTCTGTTGTAACTAATTGTTCTGTGCTATGAGTTAAAGATTCTGAACCTGTAAATATTAGGGTTGAAGAAATATTTTCTGATTCAGTTGAAGTTGCAAGCATCTTAGTTTGTGGTATGGACCAGGTTGCTGACTGTTTTGTAGATTTTTCTGATAAGAAACTAGTGACAGTTGCAGGACTTGATTCAGATGATGGTGTGCTGCTAATATTTGCTGCTTCTTCTTCTGTTGTAATTGACTGTTCAGAGGTACGAGTTGAAGGTTCTGAACCAGTAAACATTAGTGTTGTAGAAACATTTTCTAATTCAGTTGAAGTCGCAGGCTTTTTAGGTGTTGTTTTAGTAGATGTAGCTGATTCTTTTGTTAGTTGTTTTGAAGTAGAACCAGTGACATGTTTAGGAGTTGATTCAAACGATGGTGCACTGCTGGTATTTGCTATTTCTTCTGTTGTAACTAATTCTTCTGTGCTATGAGTTAAAGATTCTGAACCTGTAAATATTAGGGTTGAAGAAATATTTTCTGATTCAGTTGAAGTTGCAGGCATCTTAGTTTTTGACTCAGACCAGGTTGCTGTCACTTTTGTAGATGTTTTTGAGGAAAAACTAGAGACAGTTACGGGACTAGATTCAGATGATGGTGCGCTGCTAGTATTTGCTGCTTCTTCTTCTGTTGTAACTGACTGTTCAGAGGTACGAGTTGAAGGTTCTGAACCAGTAAACATTAGTGTTGTTGAAACATTTTCTAATTCAGTTGAAGTCGCAGGCTTTTTAGGTGTTGTTTTAGTAGATGTAGCTGATTCTTTTGTTAGTTGTTTTGAAGTAGAACCAGTGACATGTTTAGGAGTTGATTCAAACGATGGTGCACTGCTGGTATTTGCTATTTCTTCTGTTGTAACTAATTGTTCTGTGCTATGAGTTAAAGATATTGAACCTGTAAATATTAGGGTTGAAGAAATATTTTCTGATTCAGTTGAAGTTGCAAGCATCTTAGTTTGTGGTATGGACCAGGTTGCTGACTGTTTTGTAGATTTTTCTGATAAGAAACTAGTGACAGTTGCAGGATTAGATTCAGATGATGGTGCGCTGCTAGTATTTGCTGCTTCTTCTTCTGTTGTAATTGACTGTTCAGTGGTACGAGTTGAAGGTTCTGAACCAGTAAACATTAGTGTTGTAGAAACATTTTCTAACTCAGTTGAAGTTGCAGGCTTTTTAGGTGTTGTTTTAGTAGATGTAGCTGATTCTTTTGTTAGTTGTTTTGAAGTAGAACCAGGGACATGTTTAGGAGTTGATTCAAACGATGGTGCACTGCTGGTATTTGCTATTTCTTCTGTTGTAACTAATTGTTCTGCGCTATGAGTTAAAGATTCTGAACCTGTAAATATTAGGGTTGAAGAAATATTTTCTGATTCAGTTGAAGTTGCAAGCATCTTAGTTTGAGGTATGGACCAGGTTGCTGACTGTTTTGTAGATTTTTCTGATAAGAAACTAGTGACAGTTGCAGGACTTGATTCAGATGATGGTGCGCTGCTAATATTTGCTGCTTCTTCTTCTGTTGTTATTGACTGTTTAGTGGTATGAGTTGAAGGTTCTGAACCAGAAAATATTAGTGTTGAAGAAATATTATATGAATCAGTTGAAGTTGCTTGCTTTTTGGGTGTTGTTTCAGATGTTGTTGCTGATTGTGCTGTTAACTGCTTAAATGTAGATCTTGTAACAGGTATTGGATTTGATTTAAATGTTGTCGTTATTTGATTTATTAAATTTTTAGTTTTATCTAATATTTCATTATTTTTAGTTGTAAATTTTGATAGATTTGATATTAGTGTTGTAGATATGTTTTCTACCTTAGTTGTTTGTGTTGCATAACTGGTCGAGTTTTGTGATGAAATAATGTTTGTGCTTGCTGTTGTATTAAATATACAGTTTGGAAATAAATTTTTTAGAGGACTCGTTTTAAGCAGTTGATCAAAACTGCTTGATTTTATAACTTTGTTTGTGTCATTTGTTATCAAAAGTAAGTACTGCATATTAATTTTGCTTCCTACAGCAACAGCAAAAACTGTTATATCAAAATCTCTTGCCAACTTTGCTGCAACTGCAAGATCTTTAGGACCATTTGAAAAATTTTTTGAATTTCCTATGTTTGCGTTGCCATCTGTTAGAATAATCATGATTTTAATGACATTCGGTCGGTTTCCGCATCCCCTTTTTGTTAACAAACTTTGTCCTTTAATTATCCCATCTTCAATATTAGTGTATCTACCTATTTGCTCAAGTTTTAACACTGCTTCTTTGAAAGATTTCTCATCCTGGTATTGATCACAGTAAATTGATTCTACTGCTTTATCTGAGAATAATGCAACAGATGCCTTATTTCCATAAGAACTGATAGTATATTTGTTAACAAGAGCATTGATAAATAGTTTTTCGTCGTTAAAGAAGGCAGGACTTATTGAGTCAGATGCATCTAGAACAAATGATAGTTCGATTGTGCAATTTTCTAAAAACAAAATAATGAAAATAAATCTTAATTCACCTTCATAATACGTTACTTTATGCTCTGACACCCTAAAAGTGTTCTAAATAATAAATAGTTTAAAGTTTCAAATATTTCATTACAAAAATATTTTTAGGGTATTTTATGACCCTTAAACATCAGACAAGTCCTTAAAACTATAAAAAATATTCTGTGTATGAAAAAAAAAAAACATCTAAACTTCTAAAAGTATTTGTGTTAATAAGTTTACATATTATCATATGAAGAATAAATTGTAGTGTAGTAAATTTAATAATCTATAATTAATTCTACACTACACAAAAAATTATTTTTCATATTTTAATGGATAAATATCTAAGAGCGGAACAATTTGAGAGCAATCACAATTTTGCACCAGCTTCTAAAGAATGATCACTCTGGTTTAGAACTATTACAAACTTCATGAAAACTATGCAAACAAAAGATAAATTAGATGTCCTCATTAACTATTTATCTCCTTCCATGTTCGACTATATTGCTGACATTGAATCACTTGATGGCGCTATAGAAATCCTGGAAAACTTATTTGTAAAACCTAAAAATGAATTATTTTCCAGACATCAGTTAACTTCACATAAACAATCATCCAAAGAATCTATTGATGAGCTTTTGCAGGCCTTACATACGCTCAGTAAAAATTGCAACTTTAAACAGATTTCTGCTTCAGAACATTGTGAAAAATACATTCATGATTTATTTATAAGTGGTCTAAGTTCTCATCATATTTGCCAACGACTATTAGAAAACTCTACCCTTAAACTTACTGAGGCCTATAATCAAGTTTGTTTATTGGAAAACGCTCAAAGAAATAATGAAATGTATTCACATACAGAGTATAGCAATGTTGCTACAACTAATAAACATTTCAAATGTATTACTGAGCTTGCTTCAGTTTCTACTAAGCCTAGTGAAATTTTAAAAATAAGTTATAAAAGTTTTATTTTTATAAGTTATTTTTGTGGAAGTTAACGTCACCATCGAAAATCATGTCCTGCCAGAGAAGCAGAATAAAACAATCGTGGTAAGAAAGGACATTTCAAGAAAGTATGCAAATCACCAAAGAGCTTTGTCACGTCTGCTGCTGCTTCCATGCACCAAGTTTAGCCTCGATTACTTGCTCTTTTATCAACTCACTCAACTCTATTGTTTATATCTTTATTGCTAGGGCCAAGGTAGGACCTCTTCTTGACACTGGAAGCTCTGACACATTTATTTGCAAATCATTGTGACTCTTTAAAACTTAATATACCTCCTTCTAATTAAAGAGACTCTATGGCTGATACTTACATAGAGACTCTTTTATTAGAAGGAAGTATATCTTGTCAAGTTACAGGTAAAGTTTCAACTAACTTCACTTTATTTGGTATGAAGTACTATAATATTAAGATAGTACTACAACGAAAGCTAGCACTATTTTCCCATTTCTCCAGAATGTAGACTAATTGCTTCACCTTCTAGACGATATAACTCAGAGGACAAAGCATTCATTGAGCAAGAAACTAAAAAACTTTTGAAACTAGATGTAATTGAATCCAGTAACTCTCCTTGGCAATCACCAATAGTTGTTACCACGAATGAGAGGCATCAGAAATGATGGTCTTTGAATACTCACAAACAATAAATCGATTTACACTACTTGATGCTTATCCTTTACCTAACATCAATGAATTAGTTAACTCTGTTGCAAAATATTTATTATTTAGCACATTTGAATTAAAAAGTGCTTATCACCAAATATCTCTCTTAGAAAGTGACAAGTATTATACTGCCTTTGAGTTTTTTCAAAGAATCATGAATAAGTTTATTCAAGAAAACAAATTAGAAGACACCTTTGTATATCTAGATAACATGCTTGTATGTGGTACAACTAAAAATAAACATGATTTCAATTCAAAAAAATTTCTTGAAGCTTCTAAAAAAGCAACGTTTACGTTTAATGAAGAAAAATCTATATTTTCTACTTCATGTATAACCTTCCAAGGTTTCCAAGGTTACAAAAAGTGGCTCTTTTTCTCCTGATCCAGATTGCTTAAAGCCATTAATTGAAATGCCTGATCCCACTGATAATGCTTCTCTCCGTCAAGTCCTTGGTATGTTCTCATACTACTCCCAATATACAAAACACTTTTCTGACAAAATTCATCCTTTATCTCTAACTTCTACCTTTCCACTGTCAAC